CCTCCTACCACTGAGCTATCCTTCAGCTCTTTTTAAAAAATTTTTAGACAGAGTCTCACTCGTTTGCCCAGATTTGCCTCAAATGTGCAGCCCCTTGCATCACCCCTGAAGGGGCTGGGATCACAGCCATGCAATACCACAGCTCTGGCTTAAGCTAAATCTGACCTCAAACCCTAGGAGCCTTAGAAAGCAAAAGAAGGGAGTCCTGTAGGTTATAACTTTTAGTAAGATAATTGGTTCTTGAATTAAGCACCTTCTCTAAAACTCTCCTATATTGTCTTACTTAGGCTCACAGTATTCCAGCGAAGTGGAAAGAAGTGGCTATTGTATCAATCTCCAGGGTTGTGGTTTTTCTATAAAATGGAATATTACTCAGCCATAAAGAACAAGAAAATAGATTCATTCATAGGAAAATGGATACATATTGAAGATATACTCCTAAGTGAAATAAATAAGTCACACGTGTAAATACCAAATAGTTTCCCTGGTGTGAATAATCTGCAACAATGCAAAAGATTCTAATAAGTTTAGTGACATTTAGAAATGGGAAGAAAGGAGCTAAAGGGGTAGGGAAGGTGGGATGGGTAGGGGAAAAGTAAAAAGGGAAAAGAAAAAAATGTGAGAGAATGAAAAGATGAAAATAAAGTGTTTGTAGATGGGGAGGGGAGGAGGGGGTGAAGGGAGGGCAGAGGTAAGGGGAAAAAATGAGAATCAAGACTTGCCATGTAGAGGTACATGATCCCAACAATGAATGTAACTGTACTGTATCCCTAAAATGTACCAATTAACTCAATAAAATTTAAAAACAAAAACAAAAACAGAGACAGGTTAGTGACGCACCTAAAGGCCAATCATTACCCAAAGGACCAGTCAGCTCATTGGTTGCTGGGAGGTGCTGGATGGCCACATGGCTTACAACTCAAACCCCCTCATGGTTTCTACCCCCAAGGCAGACGTCAGCAGACTGCAGTCTCTCAAACAAGGGGAGGCAGGTGCCAGTATTCTCAGAGTGTTGCTTTGTTCTCGGAACTTCACATTGAGCCTGGTTGCTGTGACCTTCATTCGAGTCCCGGGGACACACTTAATAGGATCATGCAGCGCCACAGAGGCAGGAGAAGCTGCCGGGATCAGCACCACTGCACCACCTACTTCCTCTCTCCTGCCATCGTTAAGGAAGCCCTGGAGGCAGCATTGTGAAAATGCAGCCTAAACCAAACCTCAACACTTAGGTTGTTGTCTTGTCAGAGGGTCCCTCCTGCCTCTGGCAGAAATGTAGCTGTTCTCACAGAGCCTGAGTACCTCCAGTCAGAGGGCCCCGAGGCGGACCATGTATGGCATTTGTTTCTTTCCATCTGCCAGAATTACTTATACCATTTGAAGAAGGCAGAGAAAAGAAAAGAAATGTTTTATTTGCCTTTCCTTCTTTGCCATCTTTGGGGCTTTTGGCTTTCAAACAGCGTTTGCCCGGAGATTAGTTGTCTTTGCTCTCCACACAGATGATGTCTTTCCAGTGATTGGATTTAAAGATTTCAAATAACAGTGGATTAGCAGCAATCAAGGGAAGGTGGCACATGGTTGGACTCTGTCCTGGGAAGAGGTTCTGTGCTGTCCAGCTCAACTGCAACAGTACAGGGCCAGAATAACCCCCCACTGGGGTCACTACTGATGCCTCCGTACCAGGAGGGTCAGCAGCGCTCCTAACAAATACAGCTCCAGTGTGTCTGTTTCTAGAATCTTGAACTTGGAGGAATGTTTACTCACTGACATCATTTAACATAGCAGCACAATCAGTGTTATTTTCGGGGCACTGGATTCATACATGTTATCCTGGAAGCCAGAGAGGCACTGTCTACCAGAAGTCTCTCTAATCTTGGCCAGTTTGCCAAATCCAAAATGCAGGAACAGAGCCACGTCAGGTTCTCCAACCTAGCAGCAAATCCAAATGTTCCTCGACAGTGACCCGATTGCTGATGTTTTGTTATTACTCATTTGTATTCATTCTGTATCAAATTATTTTATTAGGGCTTTCATCCTTAATTATTCTCTTACTAGAGAACATTACTGATTTTTGAGTTTCTTGTGTAGTGATTTAAAATACAAGCTAAGAAAGTAAGGAAATTTTAATGAGGATTCTTTTTTTCAGATTTCTCACACAAAGCTTTCCGAAGGTGCCGCATGGAAGTAAGTGATTGGTATTTTTACAGTTGCTTTATGAAAATTAATTCCCACCTTAACAGCATGAGAAATTGGAGTTATCGTTTTATTTGTAAATTCCCCAAGAGAGAAAAGGCAGAGACAAAACAGCCAGTATCTATAGAATAAAGGTGCTGTAGACCAGAGCTGCCTGGCTTTCATCAGTTTCCTGCAGTGTGATCTACGCAGTCCCACAAAGCTAGATTAATACAGCCTTTAAAATACAGTGATATCAAGTTACTGTCTATTGTAGGAACATGGTACATCTGGTTTTCTTTATGTAGTACTCCCTATATGTTCTGGAAACTGCTATGAGGCCACTGGGCATGATGAGTTGCACACAAAACAAAAATAAACAGTTCCTCGATTTTTGCATGGTAATAATCGATTATCAGTGTTATTCCTACACAAAATAAGGAATGCTTTTTACATTTGGATGCTAATTTATACTTTTCAGGGCCCTTCCACATAGGTTAACCCATCTGAGATGCATGTTAATTATACAAGTGTGCATGCATATGTGCGCACATATATAGTAGACAAATTAACATCACAAGTAATATTTTGTTTTCTATCTGTGCAAGTCCAATCTTAGATTGATGATGAATTCACTCTTCTATCCACATGGCCTAAGTTGAAAGTTCATTAATTACATAGAATATTAAATATTTATTTTGGACGTAGGACTGTTAAAACCATAACTAAGCTTGTGTGCCTTTTTTATTTTTCTTCCCTCTGCATTTTTTCAAGGGAATGAATGTATTCTTTACTGATGTGAGCTTCTACAAATCATTCTTATCTTCTAAATTCAGCTTCCAACAGAGGTTAAGAGCTCTGCGACTTTGTTTAAGTCACTTCCAGGATCTGGCCTCAGCTGCATTTGATCAGTGAAGGGGTTTCTGTCCAGCTATGTACCTTCTGGCGCTCTCCCCGGGGATCATTTCTACACCTTCTCCAGCAGGGGGCACCCCTGGGATTTGGATGAGGCCCTTCCTCAAGCGTTTGGTTCTTCCGGTTTCTAGAAATGCTGGTGGAGCAGAGAAGTCCCTTGGCCCTCAGGAGCCTTTAAAGGTGACAGCCTTGTGGCACAGAATATTCCCCAGCAGTATTTTCTGGTTGGTTCCCTAGCTGTCTGCACACAGTGACCACTTATGAGTGGAAACTTTAAGGCACCTGTGACTGGTGGTGCCCACGTAGTGAGAGATCAGTTAACCAGTACTCAGAAAGCCGTTGGAAACACTCAGAATCCTCCCCCTTTGTCCTCCTCTTGACTCCGGGACTCTCTCCCGCTCTGGACCAGCTGTTCTCAATCTTAGTTGCTCCTTAAAATCATGTGGGAAGCTTTTAAAATGACCAATGCTTTAAACATTTAAACATCATATATACGCCATTGATCTGTACCGGTGTTCAGGTATAAGTTAAGAAATAACTTTAAATGTAAAAAATTAATTCATGATGCCTGGCTTCCATCCTGGAAATCTGTGCTTCTTCGCTAAGGCTGTGCTAACAAAACGCCAGAGCCGGGCGGCTTAAACAACAGAAACTCATTTACTCAGAATTCTGGAGGCCAAGAGGAGTCGGCAAGTCTCAGCTGACAGGTGCAGAAACTGAGGGTTCTGTCTTCACCATAAGAACTTGGGGCAGGGGAAATGATTCGGCCCCTAACACACAGCGATGGTGCTTAACTGATCCAAGGTACAGCTCGGCACTGGGATTTTTAAATCTCTTCAGTAATTTCTACCTGAAGATCAAGGTCAAGAAACATTGCTCTAGGCTTTCTCCAAGGTCATTTCTATTCTAGGCAGTTAAACCATAAGACATACTAGGTAGTGATTTGCTGTACTGTGCAAAACTAACTTCCCAACTAAAGCCAGAAGCATCCTTCTATCGTCAGAGTGTCTGTGTGTATCAAAGAAAATCCAAAGGCTCATTCTTTCTCCCCATCATAGTTACAGAACAATCCACGTAGCCCACTGTGGAGCTTTTGCCTGTCCCACGGATAACGCTCTCCCCTTCAGCATAGGCTCCACTGGCCAGATATGCTTTTATTTGAAAATAGTAGAAGGTACTTGAAATTACTTGAAATGCTCTTCTGTTTTTGACTTTCAAAAATGACAGTTTTATGTGATTATGCCTAATAAATGTTATTATTTTTCATCTAGGCACAAATGAAAGAGCATGAGTATTATGTCATATAAACCAAGAGGTATAGAGGGATTATCTTGAATATACAAATGAGGAAACTGAGACTCAGAGAAGGTGAGTGAATTTCACAAGGATACAAAGCAATGAGTTGGCAGATCAAGGACTAGGTTCGAGTCTTCCAGGGCTCGACAGTGCTGCTCAGCCTCGCTGCTTACCTTACGAGTCAAGACTAGGCAGGATGACTGTGAGTTCAAGCCCAGCCTGGGCAACTTAGCCAACTTTTGTAAGAGTATCAAAATAAAACAAAATTTAAAAGAGATGTGGCTCAGTGCAAAGATCTTGGGTTCAAACACCAGAGCGGGGGGGAGATAAAGAAACAAGACTCAAGTGAAATTCATGTGGGAAAACAAAGAGCTGAGAGGCATTGTTTGTTTGTTTTTTTATTGAGTTTATTGGTGGCATTGGTTTTAATGATAGAATTGGCTATTGTTTTCCCAAACTGAGGAGGAAGGGGAGAAAGCAAGAAAGACTTTGTAATAAAAAACTCACCACCACCTATATTGGAAACCCTCATCTTTCTGTGAGCCCTGCCTGCTGTTTGTTTGTTATTTGTTTTGTTTTGTTTGTTTTGCTGAATGTCAGAGTGGGGAGGGCCTTTTCAGATGACCTCATTCACTGGTTCCAGTCTGCAGCAGGAGCGGGCATACAGGACGCAGCGGGCCCCGAGTCCATGCATGTGAAGACGGTCTTGATCTTCCTCTGCGCCCTGGTCACGGCTCAGGGGGTGCTGGTGCGGTGGACACAGAGGCACGGCCGGTCCTACAGTGTGAGTCACCCCAGCTGCTGGCAGCCTGCTCCAGCTTGTCAGCTTGACTGTCCTTTCACTGCCATTTGCCTCCTCGGTGATTTCGAAAGAGGGTTTTGCCGGCTCTCAGCCAGGTACAGCTTTGCTTCCACAAGACATCCGGCAATGTGTGGAAACATTTTGGATTGTCACACCTCAGTTGGGAACAGAAAGGAGACAGGAGCGCCTACTGGCATCTGGCAGACAGAGCCAAGGATGGTGGTAAACTCCTACAGTACAAGGGAGCTCTTCACAACAGAAATTATTCGGCCAGTAGAGCCAAGAGGAGCCCTTAGTATAGGTATAGGCAAGCCTTTGGTTTTGGGGGGTGGCCTGAGTATGTGTAGACAACTTCTGGCGATGGTGCAGGGAAAGGAAGATTAGGAAGAGAAAAGCAAAAGACTGAGGCTGTGTTTCTTAGCAATAAATAAACAACAAATAAATATTTGCAATAGTCTTGCCATGAATGGTTTGCATATCCATGAAAACATGTCCATGCAAGCAAAGGCCATACTGACCCCAACAACGCAGAGCAAGATCTCTCACAGAGCTGTCTCGCTGGAGCAAATCCACCTGCACTTCCCATCTTGGGCAGGGCTCAGCGTCACACCCCATCCCTCCTGGACCTGTGACCTTGCCACTGCAGTGTGTAGAGCAGTGGTTCTCAGATCGCAGGGTACATCAGAATCACAGGGCTTGTTAAATCACACTCCAAGGTCTCCTTCCAGGGTTTGTGATCCCACAAAGATCTGCCCACTTGCATGCCTAGCAAGTTCCCATCGATGCTGACGCCGCCGGTCCTGGGACCATACTTTGAGAGCCACTGGTTTAGACTCGAGCATAAGTCATGAGGACACTGCAAAGGGAGAAGGTCCTCAGTGAACATGCCACACGGCACTGGGAAGCTGGTTGACTTGAATTGTGTCTCACCCCTCCTCTGCCCGTTTTTGAGGACTTCTGAGGTAGCTTATGTCACAGAATCCATCTTCCTTTTGTCAGCTCTTTGAGGACACATGTTGCGGCACTCCAAGTCCCCTCTGGGTGCTTCTGCCCCTGGAGGTTCTGCCCTTACTAACGTAGCCGGCCCTGGGCCCATGCAGGCCACCCTCCGCCTGGCCCCTGGGCCTTTGAAGTGTGTGTCTGCTCTTTTTCCCACTGTTCGCTGCGCAGGCCACACTGCCTCCAATGCCTCCCTAGAGATGCTGTCTTTGCCCTCAGGACCCCCAGTCACCCCACTTTAGCTCCGTAAGGTTGCTGTTTCTGCCTCTTCTACCACATCGCTCCTCTATTTTATGACTACTTGGCGGGGCCCTGTGGTCCCAAGGACCACCTTGAAGGAGACAGGGTCACCGTGACCATAGCCTCTGCTGCCTGGCACGCTGATAAAGCCAAGAGCCGAGATGAAGGTGCTCCCGTGGTAGTCCAGGGCAGATGCGTCTCATCGTGGCCCCACTGGGATTCTGCCGGGTTAGCGTGGGAGGTGGTTGGACCCTGAGACATTTTCTACTTCTTTTTCCATCGGTCCCTTTATTAGTAATGTTGTCCGAGGAGGAGAGGTTGCATGGCCCCTGTGTTCTCTGCTCATCCACTTCGGCTCATGGTGAAAGCCAAGCTTTCCCATGTTGCAGCCCTGACTTTGATCTACACTTTGCATCACTTGGGAATATTCTCCAGAGCCCATCATTGGAATACCGCCCTTCCACGAACTCCCAGGACGTCTGCAACCATTGGAGCAGGAAATGGTCCCCAGGATGCCTTGGCTTATTCTAACCCTGCTTCCTCACCGTTCTTACATGAACAATTGAAAAAAACTAGGCCCAATGACCTACCCTCTGGTATGCACTGGGGCTGGGATTTGATGGGCATGTTTCCAAAAATGCTGGCCTAAGTCGCCTATTTAGAGAATACTTAGCTTTTAGATTGTTTCTCTTGGCTCCCAGATTATGTGGAAACTGTCAGAGCTACTGAGCGTTCCGAACACATAAGATTCATGAAGTTTTTAGCTCTTTTCTATAAAGGACTATATAGTAAAGTTTATTTCCATGACTTGATATTATAACCTCCATCGATATATTACAAATGAACTCATATATATTAATTATAATTACTACATTCTTGTAATATAATTATTATTATAATATATAAAACTGCCATATTATAAATTTTCATATAAATTGCTATTATAGCCACAATGAGTGCTTTTTGTACATTAGCTCAGTTAACCTGTGTGGTAATTATTTTTTATTTCCCTTTGTGCAGTGTAGTTCAGAGAGTTTAAGTAAGTTGGCCAGAGTCATATAACTAATTAGTTGCAGAGAACAGACCAGAATCTAGTCTCACTAGTTATTTGCTGTCAGATAAGGACAAGCTCCTTAAATATCTCTGAACCCCCATTCCCTTATCTGTAAATGACAGTACCCAAGATAAGAACCCATCCTGCAGAGTTGTGATTCAGACACGTTTTCCTATGAGGACTTCTGACAGCGACTTATCCGCCAACCTTGGCTCTGAATGTATTCAAGAGATATTGCTTATCTCTAATATTTCTGCAAACTTAATAATATCCTATGAAAGCAGTCTGCCAATAAGAGAATCCTTTTCTAGATGTTTTGTAAAGCTAAAGTAACCCATTTGGCCTTTGGTCTACATTCTCCACTAGATTTTTGGTTGCTTTTTCCAATCAGTGCACCTGTGTATCTCGCCTTGCCACAACCTTCTACTCTGCCAATGCTGTTTTTAGGACAGTTCTCTCAGCTGGTTTTGCAAAATGTATGGATAGGAACTGGAGTCAGGATGACGAAAGGAACAGCACTTGTTTAAGAGGTAGAAGATCTAGCTACTCACTCACCCTCAGTTCCCTGGCCTTTAAAATGATGGAATATGAAAAGAAAAATAGGAAGAACATCTGGTTTCATCTCCAACACGTAAAAAACTTGGAAGGCATCACTCCTATCTTATAAAAAGAACAAATCTGAGCAAACTACTTTTCTTTTTCAAAAACTTGAACCCGTCTTCTACTAAATTAAAGTCACAGGGAAAACCACCTTAAAATCTATAGAGACAGGTGATGCAGGTGATCTCAGGTAAGATCTGCTTCCTGGGAGTGGAAGCAGCCAGATCCATAGGCTGGTAGGAAGAATTTAAAAGTGGAGTCTAGACCACGACAGGAGTCAGAAACTTGGTAGCCACCATCTTAGGGGCAACTCATATTTTCACAAGTTTTACCTTCAAGAACTTTACCAGGTCCTCGTGGTAAAGAACCAAGAAAAACTGATGCTTCTAGCAAGAGGAAGCTACTCTGGGTCATTATGAACTAGATAGACCCAAAGTGTGCCCCACAAGAAAGCCAACAACAAGAGGAAAAGTTTTGCCAGAACCTTATCCAGTGCTGAGGGAGAGAAATTTCCCGACTCCATCTCCATTGAGGCTTCCCATATGACCCCCAAAGAAATCAAAACGTGGAGAAACACTTGAGAAGGTCAAAGCTCAGGGACAGAAGCCTAAGAAAGATAAACACAGGAAGACAGAACATTCTGTTACACTCCCCCCCGACTGCATCTATGGGATCCTGATCAGTAAGAGTGAGTTTGAGCTGAGAGCCACAAAGTTCAGGCTCTGTGAAGAAGTTTTTCAGAAACCCAGAGACACCTGGAGAAACATTTTTAAAAAGTCACTAGTGGAAATGAAACCTCTGACACATAAAGCTACAGCAAACATTAAATAGCCCAACTCCTAGTTAAATTAACACAAGACCCTCACCACAAGACCTCACACTAATGGCCTATTTACTTCAATTCCTATTACCTAAAATATCATCTGCTCTCCAGCCAAAACTTATGAGTCATGCTTCAAGGAAAGAAAAACACAGTCTGAAGAGACAAAGCGAGCATCAGAGCCAGATTCAGATATGGCGGAGATTTGGGAATTATTAGACCAGTGATTAAAAGTAAATTACTGCCTGTGGTCATGACTGGGAGGTGTAGCTCAGTGGTAAAGCACTTGTCTAGTGTATATGAGGCCCTGGATTCCATTCTCAGCATGGAAAAAATAAAGTAACTGTGGCTAATATGCCAGAATCTCTAATGGAAAAAATAGACCACATACAAAAATAGGTGGGTTGTGGAAATTAAGAAAGTATATAATATAGCTGGACATGCTGGTGCACACCTGTAATACAAGCTCTGAAGAGGTAGAGGTAAGAGGACTGCAAGTTCAAAGTCAGCCTGGGGTACATACCAAGACCCTATCTCCAAAACTAAAACCAATCAAACAAAGAAAACTGGAAAAGAAAATAATATACAATTAATGCTAGAAATAAAACACAAATACTGTAACAGAAATGCAGAATATTTTTGATGGGCCCATCAGTGAAATAGATACAGACTGAGGAAAGACTCTGAGCTTGAGGGTAAAGTCAGTAGAAACTTTCCAAACTGAGATGCAAGGAGCAAAAGAATGAAAAAGAACAATATTCAAGAACTGTGGAACAATTTCAAAAAGTATAACACATATTGGAACAGTGAAAGAAGAAAGCACTAATGGAGTTGAGGAAATACCTACAGCCATGGTGGGAAATTATGGAACTCATTCCACTGTGGACTGTTTGTATCCTTGAAAGCTCTAAAAGGTTTTCCATGACTGACTTGTAGTAATAATGACTCAGAGTTAATGACAGACACCAAACCACAGACCCAAGAGCACCACCAAGTAGGAGAGATACCAACAAATCTATACCAAGCCTGTCATATTCCCCCTGCAGAGAGCCAAAGACAAAGAAACCTTAAAAACAGCCAGACAGAAAAATAAAAACCCTACATGTAGGGAAACAAGGATTAGAATTAATCAAATTTCTCCTAACAAACCCATGCAAGAAAGTAGAAAGCAGAGTAAAATTATTCACATATTGAGGGGGGAAAATCCACCAACATAGAGTTTTATGTCCAGAGAAAGATTCCTTCACATCTGAAGGAGAAATCGACTAT